CAAACACGGGGAGAACATGCAAACTCCACACAGAAAGACCCCAGCCTGGTGTTGGAATTGAACTCAGGACCTTCTTGCTGTGCGGCAACAGTGCTAACCACCGTGCCCTGAGAAAGTCCAAATATAGGACTGAGAAAGTCCTATATTTGTGAAACTGATAATACTCAGGTCTTGTTAACACTGTGTTAGGGATAGATTCACATTTTTGTGATGATGGTTAAATTGGCAGGTTACAGCTCAAAGTTAAGATCAGCCTATAATGTCAATACACAAGCCTATATTATCTGATCTCAATACCAGGAAGGTTCAGCTAAAAATACCTATGTAACTGGCAAATTTAATTTAGGGTGCACAATTTAAGTTTGTTTAGCCTGACTACCTTTACACAACTTCAGCACATCTCTTTATACTAGTTATACCATTATCAGTACCATATCTGTTGGTGCCTGTCCTGTTTAGGCCTTACACTTTCCATGTATGCACAAAGGAATTCCTGCACATGGAAATAAATTTGTCTGGTTAAAGTTTAAATGGAATTGTTTGCATATTTGTGCAAACTGTGCTGTGTCTAATAAACAAATCACTGTAAAGGTTATTTCATCGTTCTAACAGAACTTAAAATATATATGCACTTCAACTTATGATTGACTTAAGACATCATTATATGCTACTGTTCATTTGTATTATACCACCAAGATTGTAAGGTAGTCTCAAAATATTTCCTCTGTATATATCTTGCAATATGATTGAATTTGCACTGCTCTGAAGTTTCTTATAATCCACCATATATCTAAACCAGATGATGCAAATGATCAAAGCTTAATATCGTGTAGGTTCTAATATTAAACAATCTATCAATCAATAATATTAACCAAATATTATGTGACAAATGTATGTGAAGCGCATCACTAAAAGTTTATTACTTTGTTCTTCTGTTTTCAGATGAAGTAGTCAGTAAATATCTTCAATATGTCATTAAAGATTTTTAAAAAAGCTATATAATACTGAAACCTATGAACCATGATGTGATGGCAGTAATTTTCTCCAATATTAATTATTTTATTTGCACTCAAACTTAAGGATATTTACCATAATATACTGGCATGACTTGGAAAATACCTCAGTGTGCAGGTTTACTCTACAGGAAAGCTACAGGACCCTGTGTTAGCCCAAACAGTCAACATTGCAGACATATACTCTGCAAAGTCTGTACATGTGTTTAATAACAGGAATTCTAAAAGAAAAAAATTAAGAAGGAAAGTAACAACAAATAATATATTTTTCTTTTTAATTCAAGCACCATTATTCTTTTAAATAGAGGTCTCTATCAAACAGTCAAGGTTTCCCTTTATAGTATAACTCTGAATTGATAACCAGATCAGTAACAGTCAAATAAAATTTTTGGACACCTAAAATTTCTCAGCAAAAGCCATAAACCTTCTTCAAATGTATCTTAGTTCAACAGAGCAGCATGTTTTGGGGCATTAGATCCCCTTTACTTCAAGGGGTGTCCTGCCAACCTTTGCTGGTGTGCATGCAGGAACGTATTGCACTTCTTGGATTTCCACCTCGACACACCCTTTGGACAGAGGTCACACCATTCCAGCCTTTCACAGTGAAGCAGCAGATGTCCACACCTGTCCTAACACGCATCTAGTTGTGTTGTTGCTGTGAATATCCTGGGATGTAGCCTTCCTTTTGAAACAACACATATGGTGGAGAATATGATTACATTTATCCAGCTTAAAATGCTGGCATGTTGACTTGCTTAAAATTGTGAGCAACTGCCAAGCAAAACCTGGATTGGTGTCTCATTCAATAAGACACAGATGAGCCAGCAATCTGAGATGCACAGGACGAGGACGTATCTAAGCAAGGCAAGGCAAGGCAAGTTTATTTATATAGCACAATTCAACAACAAGGTGATTCAAAGTGCTTTACAGAGACATTAAAGAACAAAAACAAATAAAAAGCATGATTTAAAGTTGATTAAAAAAAAGCAAACTGTAGATAAAATCAGAACAGTAGATAAAATCAGTAGTTAAAATGTAAGTTTTGAAATGTAAGCTTAACAGTGTGGATTTGGTGTTTTATTGAAATGCAGCTGAGAATAGGAGAGTCTTCAACCTGGATTTAAATAAACTGAGTGTTTCAG